AATGTTAATGGTTTTTCATTCGTATTTGTTTTTATTTCTACAAAGTCACTAAAACTTAAATTTAGCGTTAATATTTGTATTCGTTCATCGACACAGTTTCTTGTCCCCGCTGTGTCATCGGGGGGTGTTCGTTTTCCCTTCCTACGACTCTCACGAATTGTGTATTATTTCTGTTTCCATTGTTTCGATTCTGTTGATTTTGATAGTTGTTATTTTGTGAATAATTTTGCTTTCCACGTCCGCGGTAATTGTTATTATTTCTGTTGTTATTGTTACCACGTTGGGAATTTCCGCGATAGTTGTTATTATTTCGGTATTGTCCGTTCGGTCTGTTTTGCCAGTTTGTGTTCTGTCGGTTTTGCCAATTTGTTCCTCTAAAATTGTTGTATCTGCCGCGTCCGTTGTTGTTATTGCGCGTGTAGTATAGGATTTGTACCTCGTTGTTTTCTGTATTTGTTTCGGTAATTAATTTGGCTACTACTTCTTTTGGTTCTTTAAATTCACTCGAGGCCAAAATTGATTTTACCAAGTTTGTTCTCGCCGAGAGCCTACACATTTCTACAGTTTTTTCAATAGTAGTTTTTTCGGCTAGGTTGTGGGTCATACCCTCTGATATGTACGCTCTTCTTAATTCGTCAGCTAGATTTTCAGCCTGCTCTTGGAATTTGGACATGGCATTGCGTTCATTGCGTAAGGCTAGGAATCGACCTAGCACTACTTTACTGGACTCTGGTTTGATTTTTCCTTTTATTGCTTGTATTATCTCTTCTACCGTCCCAACATTTTCAGGCAAGGTTTCTAACGCTCTTCCCTCTAATTTGGTCTTTATAAATTGAATTAGATGTTGTTTGAAGTCACTTTTTGTAATCGTGTTTGCTAGTTCAATAGATGTTATAAAAGCATCGCGACCATTTGGGTCACCTTTGTACGTCGTCGTAATGATTTTTGATACCTGGCCCAGGTATTTAAAAATTTCGTCTTCTGCCATTGTGTTGTGTTTTATTGTTTCTCCGTTGTTTTCTGATGCAATTGGTTCGCTTAAATTTGTAGGAATTTTTATTGTGATTTCTCCCACTATTGCTAAACACTTTATGGTTCTGTCTCTTATGTTTGTTAATTTTTGTTTTATTGTCGTTCTTAGTTCTATGTCATCGCCTTTGAATATGTGTGCACAATACTTGATTATATTATTGTATGATTCTACAATTTTATCCCTTCTAAATTTTAATATCGCTTCCTTTGTTGATGCATTTTTTCTATTTATTGTCGATTCCCATTGCTCAAAGATATATATCAATTTGTATAAGTCTACTTCGTCATAGCTATTTCTACTCATGTTTCCTTTGTCGGCATTTTTGTTTGTAACATTTTCGTTTTATTTTATTACTTGAACATTCTCTTTTTTATATTTATCTATAATTGAATATTTTGACTTACTAAGTGTGAGCTGCCCATTCTTGTTTAAGTTTTGGACAGTCGTAAAATAATCAAGCGGTTAATGAAAAGTCGTAAAATGTACGATCGTAAAAAGTAATCAGTTATGCTAATTTGAGTATAATGTGAAACTTATCGATTCTATTGTATTTGTTGTTTGTTGCTGCATTGCATCGGCATACGCACGTGTGTCCTCCATCCGTTCGTCTCTTTTGTGTCTTCATGCGTGCTTTTCGTGTGAATTCATTATCTTTTCTGCTTCAGTCGGCTTCTCTTCTGGTTGTGTCGGCTTTGCTTTTCATGTTCCACGTTATTTCATTATATTTTTGATTTTATGTTTCACGCGTGCGGATTTTTATTATTCGCAGTTTATTTGACCTTTTGTTGTGTTGCTTGTTGATGCGTTATATCGTGGAGTTTCGTTTCTTTATTTGTTGCACCATGATCTTTTCGATTCTTTTCAGATTGTATGTGATGTATTTCAATTGTTCCACTTCACTTAGTTCGTTAAATTTTTCTTCTGTTTTCAATTCTTCTTTTATAGAGTCACTATTGCCTCTTTTTCGAACATTTCGTTTATCGATGTATCTTTATGGAAACTTTCTTCATTTTTGATTAAAAGTTCTGTTACTTTTTCATCAATTTTATTGTACAATGTAACTAATTTTTCTTCTGTTATTTTGTACGACATTTTGCTATTTTTATAATTTTACGCGTTATTGATATTTTTCACTGCATTGTCTCTTCTTGAAATTTTTCAATTTCTCTTTCCATATATTGCAACTTCTCTACGAGATAGTTTATTGTCGGTTCTAATGAAATTATGTCTATTTCGCACAATAATTTTAATAAACATTTAGTTTCTATAACTTGAACGAAGATATTGTAATGTTCAACTCTATTTATATCCCTGCTTCGTAGTCTGTGTAACGTGTAGTATTTTAATTTATTTAGCATTTCTTCCTGGAGTTCTGTTCTTTGTGATGCCATTTTCGCTTTAGTTTCAATGTTGGTATGTCACTTCAAATTTTGTAACTTCTCCCATTAGATATTGAATTTTCGATTCTAAATACTGTTTAATGGTATCTACTCCTTGTATGTTTTGTTCTTCTAACAATTTTTTAAATAAATGAGTCTCTACTAAACTCCAAAATACGTTGTAGTAGTCTACTTTTCTTGCGTCATTTTCTCTTAATCCTTCTTGTATTCCGTTTTTAATTTCTTCTAAATCCGGGAATTCCATTTTCTTTTATTATTTTTTTTTTATTCGTCTTACAACCGGTCACTTGAGTTATTGTGTCTCATTATAATTCTTTCATTATGGACTTTATAACCATATTTGCACACTTTTATTAATTTAAATGCGATTACTATTGATAATAATATTACGATAACTATTAGGAATGATTCAATTGTGTTCATTTCCTCAATCACTGTTTTTAATTCACTATTGTTTGTGTACACATTTATAATCGGCTTTTGAGTTGTTGAACTTGTTGTCGTTGGATGTGTCGTTGTTGTGTTCTTTGAGTTGACTCTCATCCTCTCTTTTTTCACTACATTCTTACACAGGCTGCCGGACTCGCCATATTAAGTAAAAGACTTGTGGTTCGTTTGAGTGCTAGAATCAGACTGTTCGCTTTATTCAATGTAAATACAAAGATGAGCCGCCTCCGCAGCCTTGCGGCTCGCATCGCGCTTACGCTTGCGCTACATATTTCTGCGTTTCGTTTCGCCATTATTTTAAGTTTTATTGCTGTCTCTCGCTGTTCATTTTTGCTTGATTTGTTCGATCATCGTTTTGAATATTGATGCTACGTTCAATTTTATGTACTTTTCTTGTTCTGTTTCCTTCATATTTTTAAAGTTTTCATCTATTTCTTCCAGCTTCATTATAACCATTTGTTTTGCTGTTTTTTTCGAATAATTCACTTATTTTTGTGTCTTTATGTAAACTATTTTCACTTTGTATTACATATTCTGTCACTGATTGGTCTATTTCGTTATATAGTTTGATTAATTCTTCGTTTTTAAGTTTTAGTTCTTACTTTTCCGTCATTTTTGTTATTTATTTTGTTTCCATTGTTATTTTATTTTAGCGTTCGTATGTTACGTTATGTCCAAAGGGATATTGCAACTTTTTTGACCAGAAAAAACGCCATCTTACGTCGTGCCCGTAAATTATTTTACTGTACATTTAGATGGTAGAGCTTGAACAAAAGTTCAATACTATGCATAAACTTGGAAAGAGCTTGATAAACTTGATGAAATACATATATTTTATGGTCGTTGCAATACCCCTATGGTTATGTCTGGCTAAGCAACGTTCTAGAAAGCTCATTTTATTTTTCAAGTAATTTATCATTGATAAAAGCGTTGGTTGATTTAGCACAGTCAAGTATTTTATCATTTCATTTGTTTCAATATATTGTTTGAATGTATGGTAATAATCAACAGATCTTGCTTCGTTTTCGTTAATTGCTTTGTCTATTATGTTTTGCACTTGTTGTAATGCATTTATGTTTCTTTGTTCTGGGAACTCCATTTTTCAGTCTGAGTCTTCACTGTCTTCTTTGCATAATTCTCTTTCGATATGTTGTATTTTATTTTCCCAATATTTTTTGATTTTGTTCAGTTGTGTAATGTTCAATTCAGTTGTGTTCAATTTATTTAGTTCTATTTTCATGCATTTTGCTTCGATAAATTGAATTAGTAAATGAGAGTTGTTAACCTGTTTAGCGTCTCTTTGAGAAATGGAATCGTCGATTGATTCTTTTAATATGTCGATTGTTTCTGTTTCGAAATCCATTTTAATTTATAAATGTTCGTTAGAATTGTTATGTTTCATTATTACTCTTGCGTTATGTATTTTATAGCCTAGTTTACACAATTTTACACATTTGAATAAAATTACAATTGTAATCAGTATCACTATCACGATGAGAAATGATTGGATTTCATTGATTTCGTCGATCACTTCACTGTTATCTGTAAATATGTGCACTATTGGTTTTATTGTTGTTGTTGTTGATGTCGTTATTGTCGGTGTGTGCATTGTCGTTGTACTATTTGTACTTTTATCAAAGAAACTGAATAACGTTTTATTCATTTTGCTGTTGACTCTCATCCTTTACAAAAACTGCCGGACTACGCCATGTCTGGTTCGGGATACTGGAACTAATATTGAATGAAAGGCTAGCGACCATGCGCAGTGAGTGATAGTTAAAGAGTGACTTTATTGATGTTAAGGTACATGTATATATAGGCACGCTGATGCGTGGTATATGCTTGCGTAAGCTACAGTATATGTTTGCGTGTACGCTACAGATCCATTCGCACAAGTGCATTGGTAGCCCTTTAAAATTTCAAAGAAGCCCAGATTTCATGATGACAGCTCGTTTTTGTTTACGTTTTGGTTTTGCTGCAATTTGGCCTTCCTGTTTTTTTTTCGAATGGATATTTTAGTGGATTTAGATAATTTATCGTCTATTTCAAATCCATTGAATGAATTTCTGTGAAAAAATGAGTTTGTCGGTGTTTTTTCTATGATTGAAGAACCGGTCAAAAAGGCAATACAATTTGTGTGAATTTTCGACTATTTGGCCACTTATTCCAATCAAAATTACGTGAAAATAAATGTTTGCATTGAGAATTCATCTCTGGCAGTGAGATTGAATCGAAAAAAGTGGAAAATATCAGATTAGTTTTAGCCAATAGTGATATAACCTCAAAATTCGACGAACATTTGTTTTGCTTGTGGGTAGTGGCATCTTGGACTGATTCCGAACAAAAATATATGAAATCGATTCCAAATTCTCTGCTCTATCAAACTAAAACTACCATTTTCTGTTTATTTAAAACCAAAAACACCCTAATATACATTTCGCTGAGGTAAGGACGTGTTTGGATGAGATTGAAACACCGTTACAGCGATAAAATCCAAATTGAAAGATATCTAAGCTCCATGGAAGTCCTATACTTCTTGACACATTGAAGTGAGTGCTATAATCATAAGTGTTACCAATTTCTACAAACAAAAAAAAAACAAATAATTCACTCAATCTGAAACATTGGTAACGAGCTAATTCCAATATATTTGTTGCATTTTCTGATTTTTGCCCGGTACATGTCTTATCGTAAAAACTGAAATATATCATTTGTCATCTCATAATTATTTTCAATATGCACCCAACCCCATCAATGGATTCTGGAGCTAACGACAAGGCAGTTGATATATTTTAAATTAAGCCGCATGGAATTTCAAAGCTGATGTTCTTGGCTAAAAAATACGGGTAATGTAACTTGCCTGTGACTTTCATTAGACTAAGAAACCCTAAGATTTTGAGCAATTTTCGAAATCGCTTTAGGGCACCAGATCTACCTGGCCCATGGACATCCCACTGAAAAATCAAAGTTTTGTATGGGAGCTGCTTGCAAATGACCTATGATGGGATTTTCATTACTCTCAACAGAATTGTTTCGTCAAAAGAATAGATGCTCTCGAACAACAGAACACAAACTTTCCATTACTTGAGTGTCGAATTTGAATTTTAT